TTTTTTTTTTTTTTTTTGGGCTAAAAATTAAGTATTTATCTAAAAAAATGGAAACTATAATAAAAGAAATTATAGAAAAAAAAAAACCAATTTAAAAAATAAAAATTAATGCTCGTTTTTTTTTTTTCATTTTTTAATTAAACTTTAAAGTACTACTTCCAACTATAATTATTTTTGTTTTGTTACCCATTTTTTATCAATATTTTACAAATAATAATTATTATTTTTTATTATTATTATTTAAAAAAAAAAAAAAACTATTTTTACAATCTTGTTTTTGTTTTGAAAAAAAAATCAAATGTTCGGTTATTTATTATTAGAATTAAATTGTCAAAACTTACGTTCTAATACTAAATTTGAAATTTTTAAAAATGATGTTGGTCAAACTTCACCTCTAATTCTAATTTGCTCCCAAATTCACACAATCCCGAGCTTTGTAACAGTCCAAGTCTACTGTTAGCAGATACGGTAGTTTTTAGGTTTTACCTCAAGGTTTAAAACGCGTCTAGCGAGAGGTTTTCACACCCTTATAAAAAAAAATACTTTGTTCCCTTTTTCAATCAACGTGGGATCTCACGATCTACCCCTTTTGGGGCCAGCATTCTCGCTGGCACTCGTTTCTATCTCCAATTGAGGTGGAGTCTCACAATCTACTCTCCCTTCGAGGCCTAGTGTCAAGAAGTTTTCACACCTTTATAAAAAATACTTTGTTCTCCTCCACAACCGATGTGGTTCATAAAATCCACAATCCATTCTCCCTTCGGGGTCCAGTGTTGAGAAGTTTTCACATCCTTATAAAAAACACTTTGTTCTCCTTCCCAACCGATGTGGGATCTCAAAATCCACAATTCACTCTCCCTTCGAGGTCCAGTGTCGAGAAGTTTCCACACCCTTATAAAGAATACTTCGTTCTCTTCCCCAATCAATGTGGGACCCCCCAATCCACCTTCCTTCGAGACCAAGCATCCTTGCTCTAATATGTAACAGCCTGTGTCTAGCTCGTTGGCACATCACCCTGTGTCTAGCTCTAATATGTGACAGCCCAGATGCTGGCACACCATTTCATGTCCACCCCCCTTCAGGGCTTAGTCTCCTCGTTGGCACATCACCCTGTGTCTAGCTCTAATATGTAACAGCCCAGATGCTGGCACACCATTTCGTGTCCACCCCCCTTCAGGGCTTAGTCTCCTCGTTGGCACATCACCCTGTGCCTAGCTCTAATATGTAACAGCCCAAGTCCACTGCTAACAGATATCGTCCTCTTTGCGCTTTCCCTCAAGGTTTTAAAACACGTCTACTAGGTAGAGATTTCCACGCTCTTATAAAGAATGTTTCATTCTCCTCCCCAACCAATGTGGGATCTCACAGAACCCAGTCTATCATTCAAAGACAAAACACATCAGAATACGATACCATTTTACTTGCAGGTCAGTGGAAGAAAGTGATGTGTCTGGAGAAGACAAGGATGCAAAGAATCCAGACATGTTACAAAATATGTTGATGTTTGAAAATTGAGGTTATGGAAAGCCTTAATTGGTCTGATGCAGGGAAGACATTGATAGTCGTCTGATAATGAAATTCTTCTTTGACTGGATGAGTCTACCAATACGAGAACCGTTAGATTATGGACCATCTTCTCATTTATAGCTTATTCAAGTCTAGTAAAAAGATACATAGAAAATGGTCGTATATAATAAATAACTATATATATATATATATATATATATATATATTCATTAGGCTCGTAAATGCATGTTACTGTACATACCTGAATCATCGATATAAACCTTTAGCTAATATTTCTCCTTGCATTTTCTCTCTCGTCCTATTCTTTATGTTCATCTCGATCGAATATGTGCGTTGTGGTGCGATCCTAATAATTTACCCCCATAAATACATTCAGGAGGTGTACTGAGAAATAACCATATCATTTACAGTGCAAAAACACATTCATAAAACGTGTCGCAAAATCATCCTAACGTTTACACTATAGAAACACGTTCACGAGGTGTATTAAGTAATTGGGAATGAGAGAGAAAGTTAGATAGATAATTTCTCGACCCCGACACCGCCCCGCTCCACTTATAAAAATTACATCTTCATTTACTAATTTGATTTTTTTTTCATTGATTCTAAAAGATTGTGTTATTTTTTAAGGAAAAAAATGGTGGATGAAATTCGAACATCGGTACAGAGAATATTAGCATACTCTTACGCAAGGATGACACTCACAAGTCAAGAAGAAACGTCATCCAACGATCTCTTAGTGTTCTCCAGCCTTTCCTCCTCTCATTGATTACGACTCATAATTCCTTAAAATATTCCTAAGAATCGAATATCGGGAATCAATCATGACGAATCCACCATTGAATCGTCATAAAAAAGTGACAAAAAATTAGATAAAATTTGTAGATGAAGCAGTTTCAAAATTTGCTCGGATTCAACACCATAGTTTGAGACATGCTAAGCTAACGAGAGACCCGGGTACACATTTTCGGTCATAGTTTTTTAAAAATTAAAAATTAAAGCTTATAACTTTTATTATTTACTTCCGATTATTGACTTAGAAGTTCGTGCCAAATTTTTTTAAAAATTCAAATAATTATCGAACATAATTTAATCATTGAATCAAAGAATTATGAACGTAGACTATTCGAACTTAGAAAAATCAAACCAAATCTTGGCATGAAAATTACTGAAGAGACATAATGTGGGCATTAAAAATAGGTTGAAAGTATTGAATATAATGAGCTTTAAATTGTTCACAGCTCAGTTCCCTGAGTCGGCTTTAGGTTGGTCTTCCCTTGATTCACAAGGCCAGCTGTGGCTGAAAATAACTTACACATATATAATCAATTTCATGATCTTGATTTGAGTGGCTCACGAACGTCCTTCTATATAGGTCAATAGAGCTTGTTCGGAAGAGCGTTTTCATCTTGCGAACCAATCTATTTTTTTTCGTTCGAGTTAAGCTCTGACATCCGATTCAAAGAGCGGTAGATACCACATCTGAATAAGAGTGATCCTAAGAATATGATGACTAAGAAAAATTTAAAGGAAATGAAAGTTAGTACTTGTACCAACAAGGTGCATCTTCCTTTTCAGTAGCTCAATCGTGGGAACTCCATGGTTAAATGTGCTTTACTTAAAGTGATTTTATGTTGGGGTGACCTCCTGAAAGTCATCTTAGGATGCATGTGAATGACTCGTGTTGGTATGTGAGGATAGTCTTCCCTTTTAGAAACCAATGTATTCATAATTAGTAGAATCACTCCTGAAAATACATTAGTATATTTAAAATGTTTTTATAAATGTAAATTTTTTTAATGAAAATATTCGAAGAAAATATATTTCAAAGTATTCCAATAAAATATTTTATTTTGGATAAAAAAAAAATTAACACACTTTCGTTGACTAAATTTTAAAATTTTTAGTTCTTTAATTTATTCAATATTCTAAAAATTCAAGAATCTATAAAAAAAAATTAAAAAAATGAAATTACTTTTTGAGAAAATGATATATTCTATTTATTATTTTTTTTTGGGAAAAAAATCTATTATCTATTTCTTTTAAGTCAAATAAAAAGTCTTTCCCTTTTAATTTTTAAGTATTTTTAAATTAAAAAGTGATTTTTGTTATTTTAATAAAATTTTGATTTATTGTGGAAAACAAGTCTGATTCTATCTTTTCTTGACCCACCAGGCCAGCTGTGAACAGAAAATTGTGATAATGGTTTAAATAGTCCCACAAACACAACATTTTATGAATAAATTTAACGACGATCATACGACTTGACTTAATGAAGGGTTCATCGAGTGTTCATGTAACACCCGCTTATCGTCAACGATTAACAGGAGTTAACATCGACAATATTAAGAGACTCTGATATCCAATCATAAAATTCAAAGTATTTCTAAAAAAACATCCGGTAAAATATTAAAAAAAAAACAGTACTTTTAAAAAAAACTTAAAACGACTAAGGTAAATTCTTGACAACGGAAACATAATTACATAACAGACCCAGACATGGATTCCCATAGTCTCTAGCCCGCTGGTCTCGTCCTCGGCTGGCCTGCAGCATCTACATCTGGAAAGAAAAGTTATAATAATTCTGATGA